CCCCGCGGATTTGCCTATTCCAAAGTGCTACATTTGCATCCCTATTATGGAATACGGGCCAATGTAGACACAGCCGATGAGTCTTGAAGAGGGAGTTTGCTGGTCCAGTGGAGGGAGGCCCCTCTGTTGACAGACTCCGGGGTCTCTTGGCATCTGTCAGCAAATCATCAGGCTTCCCTGCCACTGGGCTCCCAGCTCGTCGGCCACCGAGGGCCACCAGGAGTTCATGGCCAGCCGCGGGGCCACTGGGCCTCTTCTTCTGTGGCTGCTGGAGTGCCACTGCCAGCCCCGGGGCCATGTGTACTTACTTTGTGGTCATGAGACTGCCCTAGGGTTCCTGGACTCCACTGCCCAAGGTCTCCTACTGGACCACAGATATTGCTGGACCAGAGAGTCCCAGACCAGAGAGATTGAACCTGTACTTTGAAATGTACCTTCCTTTTATAACTAAATATTTCAAGATGTTTGAAGATGCAAGATTACCTGTCTGATTCACCCAGGCTATCTCATCATTCTATATCTGCAGCAATATATTTAGAAAAAAATGGTATTGTACATTATTTTTTTCCCTTCATATTTGGCCTATTTCATCTTATGTATTTTCATTTTCTTCTAAAAAATTCCTTTTATTTTTCAGAAAGAAGTGTGTGCAGTCATCTTATTTAGTCTAGTGCCAGTTCATCAATAGCTGGCAACAATGCACTGCAATTAGATACATTAATCCATAATTCCTAATGTCCTTAATGAGGATCCTTCATGTCTTCAATGTGATAAGAAGGAGTGGATAAATTGACTTCCAGTTTAGCACCAAGAATCAAAAGGATCAATTCCCTAGACAGAAAAATTATTGCCATTGATCATCTAAAATGCTGAGTATTTTATTAAGTAGAAATACAGAAAACTTAAGATTGATTTTATTTTATTTTGTGCTTCAGTGTTCTCCATTTAGCTTGTGCATATACTTGAAAATATAAACTTCTGCCAGTTTGTGCAGGAACAGCAGGTTTACAATTGCTGAAAAGCCAGGCACATAACACGCAACCTGGTCTAAAGCAGTTCATGATTTTTAGGTTTTTTGGCGCTCAACTGAGATTATAGTTTATCATCAGTATTTCCCACAAGTAAACCATTCATTTAAGACCTAAATTCCAGTGTCTGTATAACATTAGTTCGTTCTACATGACCCTATGTAGTGAACTGAAAATCAATTTGACCAATCCAAGACAACAACATGGTAACATACGTGTCACCCCATAAATGAGCTAAGTAGTATGACCATTCTTAAGCATTCCTGGATGGTGTTTGGAGGGCCCTTCTTGTCTCTTTCTCTCATTCTGCCAAATTAACATTTTGGTACTGGATCATATCTGAGGAGAAACTGATGATTTAGAGACTAAAATACTAGTTAATTCTTTTGTATTGAAGGCTGGCTGCCTTGCCTGCTATTTTATAAAAACTACTACTTGTTGAAAATCAGGAATCAGCATGTTTTGAAGCATTATCACTTTGAAATTGGTTCTAAAAATACTTTCCCAGTACTGAAAAGGTACAAATAGTATATAGATGGATCCCTTCTCTATGGAGACATGTGAGTCTAATGTTTGATGTAAGATACACTGTATCCCTAACTGTTGTTAATGTCCCTTGTTTTAATTTGTTATGTATTAGTGAAGGCGGATAGGCAAAGTTTGAGTGAAAACTGTTTTCTGTATTGATTCAATTAAAGATAACGGTGGAGCCACTTACCCAAGTTTGCCATTTCTACAAGTTTTTTTTTAAGAAGCTGATCAAAACTGAACAATAATTCATCTTGTTACCTGAACTTAATGCAAGCTGCAAAATAAATGGGGACCTTGTTGTATGTAGCTGGGATTACTCACTATTTGAATTGCACTAGCAGCACCCTTTCAGGATTGTGCTAGTTGATTTTCAGGCATAAGATAGTTTCTGCCACGAATAATTTATCATTTAAAAAGTTAGAGAAAACATGAGGGGATAAGCACACGCCAGACAGCTGTTTTGTTACCTTCAAACACTTGCACAGCTGACTTTTACTTGTAAGAGCCCCAGGTCTGGAGTTGAATGGATGCAGTCAGTATAGAATGACGTGCATAGTCAAAATTATGTAGGGAATCTTAAAATATCACATACTTGCATTTTGCACAGGTCTGGCTATCACTAAATATTTATGAATGAAATAAACATTCAAAACAGGAAAAAAAACCTATTATCTACTAAGGATTTATGAGAAAATAATTTAAGTTTCTTGCAGGCTGGACCATTAACCAATGTGACCATATGTAAGGACAAAGAAGGAAAACCCAAGTCTTTTGGATTTGTCTGCTTTAAGCACACAGAATCAGTGCCTTATGCTATAGCTTTGCTGAATGGAATCCGTTTATATGGAAGACCAATTAAAGTACGGTATCGATATGGTAGGTTTAGTATTTCCAAAACTGTTAAAACAACTTAGTTTTTTTTAAAGTGAAATTCTAGGTGTGCTCTAACACTGTAGAATGGATTTACCAGCTGTGTGACATGCAAATTTTTGATTTGCTGTAATCTTTTTGAGAGCTAGTAACAAGTTGAACAAAGCTCAATCTGTTCTCTTACGAAGAAATAGTTTGTTCATATTCATATAACAAAGGATGCGATATATATGTTTTTAAGTTTAATAAGAAAGGTAGGCCGGTAGCTTCAAAACATAACTTGTAAAGTATCAGAAAGAATAACAAGAGGACAACAAGATGGCAACAAATTCTGATCACACCAATATCAATCTGGAGACAGTAGAGTCACTCTGAATTTACATCATATAATTGAAAACAGAACTTGGCTGAGAATGTTTACAAATAGAATATTTTATCATGTTTGCATGCCAAGTTCTTTTTCTGGGGCAAAAAAGGGATGTGTGGATTGCTAGCATATGCTTGTTTCTGCCACAAATAAGGAGTTTATTTAAGATGGAAAATATTGTGATTAACAGGACACCGTTAAATTGAGTTAAATTTTTTATTTAATTTTTAAGTAAGAAATTAAAACCCAAAGTTTTGTAAAACTTATGGCTAGTAGAAATGATTCCACAAACATGTGTGGAGAAAAAATCCAGTTAAAATATTTACAAAACAAATAATTTCCCTGCAGTGTTTACAACCCAAACATTTCATTATTCTCAGCCTAGATATCCTGTTCATACTACAGCCTACACTGTTCCTTTCCATTGGTGAAGCTCCACCATTGGTGTGTTACAGCTGTGAAGTTTGCTAATGTAGATGCAGGTCTTTACTAGCTACTTAATCACACAAAATCTAAAATATAAATATATTGTATGCAGTAAAGTCATGTGTAACTTAATGTTATCAGATACAATTCACTGTGAATGGAGAGTCGGTCTGTCATAAAAGATAGAAAAGAAACTTGGGATTCAGATTGTCAATGTTAATAATCTGAAGAGAGAATGCAGTAAAATACATATATAACTGCTTTCATTACAGCAGGTTGAGGCCAAGTGAGAAGCATATCTCCATGGTTGCTGCAGCTCCAGCAGGCACAGCCAGGGAAGAGGTGCATGTCCCCCAGAAGGGGCAGGTCCTGGTTCGTCTGCCTCCTGTGCCCCCTCCCCCCAGCCAGATTAAGGAATGCAGCAAACTATGAACTTTCCCCTCCATGACAAAGGGAAACATCCAGCAATGTTCCAATACAAATTGGGAGGGGGGAACTTCAGCCCTCCTACCTTTCCTAAAGGGTGCCTTAAAGGGAGTGGGAGGCTCGGGGCTGGGGTAGTCCCAGACGAGGGTGGGGACATGCCACCAGCCAGCTCCTTTCCCCTGCCTGGTGATTGTATCTCTTTTCTAAATGATTTTATGAGAAGCAATCCCATACCAGGCATGATCCATTTTCCTGGCTCAGCCAAACCTTTACCTTGGTTTAAGTTATGATAATAAGAATATGTATACCAAATTTGGTGGTCCTAGCTCTTACCATTTAGGAGGAGTTCTTGAACAAACAGACACACGCACATACAAACTCTCTCAAATATATAGTAGATAAAGGCATGCCAAACTAAACAACAGAAGTGTGCTGAAGTACTGCACTAGATAGGATTTCTTCTTCCTATCCTCTTCCTTGTATGTTTTCATGGTGCTTGTGTATTTGGATTGATCCTAGCGAAGTTTGCCTTTGACTTAAATGAGATCAGGATTTGGTCTGCATGTGACCTGAGTTTCAATCAAAGAACTACCCCAAACATGAATTACAAATGGTATTTCGGATTCTACTTTTTAAAGATGAGAATAACACTTTACAATCGTTTATTTCCAAAATTAATCCATTATAATTTCTCAGGTAATGTCCTCGTATGCTATGTTTCTTTCTAGAAAACTCAAAATCTGTTACTGAGTCATCTTCGGAGTGAGTCAACAAAAAGATGCAACCAGCACAGTTCACTTTAAAAGCACAGTGTCCAGGCTCGTTAGGACTGTACTACAGTTAAACTATTTTGAGAAAAGTAGTGAAATTGGCTGCAAATTAAACAAAATACTTATTTAGCCCCAGAAAGAGCATAGGAAAGAAAATAAATATTTGGCAAAAAGAGAAATACTAGCAAGAGAAATCTAACTTGGGCTACTAAGACTATTTACAAAAAGTGAACAGAATAAAAAGTGAATCTTAATTATTGTAAGTGTGTCCCTTTAAATCATAGCCTTAATGTTATCTGAACATCGAGGGATTATGTAAACATACTATGGTAATATATGTTGTGTACTAAATAAAAGATACAGGATTTCTAGTCTGATGAAACTAATGGGATAAAATTATTTACATTTAAAATAGGAGTTACTGAATCAGAACAGTTCTGTTGGAATAGGGTAGCATTTTCCAAAAGTGCATGAATGTTTTAGGAGTTTAGGTCCCATTGACTTTCCAATGAGATTTACGCTTCCAAGGCCATGTCTATACTTACTGTGCCAAAGATCGATCTTCTGGTGTTCAATTTAGTGGGTCTAGTAAGTAGGGTTGCCAGATGGTCTCCCAAAAATACTGGACACGTGGTATTTTTTGGACAAGCAAAAAAAAAAAAGGAACGCAAGATAATAAGTCCCCCCGTCCTGGGGCGCCCAGAGCAGCGATCGCAACCTTGCCTGTCCAGTATTCTCTGTTGTTTTTTTTAACCGGAGAAAGAGGGCAACCTTGCCTGTCCAGTATTCTCTGTTGTTTTTTTTAACCAGAGAAAGAGGACAAATACCGGACTGTCTGGTAGAATACCGGACACCTGGCAACCCTAAGGAGCTGTTAAATTGAATGCTGAGGATGCTACTAGTCAACAATGGTACCCTCAATTTGTGAGGAGTACGGGAAGTCATTGGGAGTGTCAGCTCCCATTGACCTCTTGCTGTGGAGACAGCACCAAGCTTGGCTATGATGTAATTTACATAGTGTAGTTGTGTACCTTAAGAGGACCTTCCAGGTGAAGTACAGACCTGGCCTAAGTGCTTAAGTCTCTTTTGAATAGGGACTGAGGATCCTGATTCTCTTAGCATCTTTGAAAAACTTACCTACAAATTAAGGAAATGCATTCTACAACAAAGTGGGGCAAGTTCTGCTTTTAGTTATGCTGCTGTTAAATCATGTTTTTATGCAGTCACAGTTAGATTCTGGAATTTTAATTTGCTGTAGAATGATGTCCTGCAGATACAAGTGCTTCACTCTAAAATAACTCACTTTGTGTCTGTTCCACAACTGATTTACGACACTTTCTTTATTTTTAACCAGTTCAGGTAATAGTCTTCATATGAAAAAGAAATGTTACCATTTTTATTTTTTTTACAGGGAGTTCCCATTCACCAGAGTTAAACAGCCCTAGTCAAGGTGTTGAGAACTGGGTTGATATGTATTCACCAACATATAGGTATTGAAGAACATTTATGAAATTATCATTGCAAAGTTTTTAAGATATTGCATTATTTTAATTGAAATTTAATTTTACATCTAAGTTAAATCTGCGCAGTGGCAATCAAAGGCTGAGAAGAAGGAGTTGAAATAGCTCCCCCTCCAAAAAAAACCCATATGTATTTTTGAAGTAGTACTCACACGATAGTGCATGGAAACAGCATTAGGCCTTTATAGAAGAAAAGCAAGAGACACTTTAATACCCAGGGGCTACGTCTAGACTACATCCCTTTTTCGTAAAAGGGATTTAAATCTCCCCCGCTTCATTAGCATAAAAATGGTTGCCGCTTTTTTTCGGCACGGAGCTTTGCCGGAAAAAAGCGCCAGTCTAGACGCTGATCTTGCAGAAAATAAAGCCCTTTCCGAAAGATCCCGTATCCCTTGAAATTTAATTTTACATCTAAGTTAAATCTGCGCAGTGGCAATCAAAGGCTGAGAAGAAGGAGTTGAAATAGCTCCCCCTCCAAAAAAAACCCATATGTATTTTTGAAGTAGTACTCACACGATAGTGCATGGAAACAGCATTAGGCCTTTATAGAAGAAAAGCAAGAGACACTTTAATACCCAGGGGCTACGTCTAGACTACATCCCTTTTTCGTAAAAGGGATTTAAATCTCCCCCGCTTCATTAGCATAAAAATGGTTGCCGCTTTTTTTCCTTCTACATATTTATATAAAAAAATTTCCTGTGGGACAGCAAAGTGATGTCACACGTCCCAGTGTCCGCAGGCTAGGGAGTAGGCATGCATGGGCAAATCTCCTCCCCCAGGCCCACCCTAGATCCCTGGAGCCAAACCCTACCCACTGCCAACCCGGCTCTGTCCAGTGGCCCGGCCTTGCTGGGTATTGCAGGGGAAGAACCAGGCCTGGCTTGGTGCTCTTCAGCCTGGACTTCCCCAGTCACCAGGGTCATGGCTAGACCTGGCCTAGTGCAGCCTCATCCGGGGTGGGGGGTTAGGGTTAGGCTGTGGCTGGGTGGGTGGGGGAGAGAGAGGACCAACCCACTGCCAACCCGGCTCTGTCCAGTGGCCCGGCCTTGCTGGGTATTGCAGGGGAAGAACCAGGCCTGGCTTGGTGCTCTTCAGCCTGGACTTCCCCAGTCACCAGGGTCATGGCTAGACCTGGCCTAGTGCAGCCTCATCCGGGGTGGGGGGTTAGGGTTAGGCTGTGGCTGGGTGGGTGGGGGAGAGAGAGGACCAG